CGTTTGTTCTTCTAGAGAACCTCGTAGTGCATCGGTACTCTAAAAACTGTTTACCAAATTGCAAAGTAAACTGCCGTGATTGAAGAAAGATGTAAAGGTTTCGTATGTGGATACTTATTAAGGGCTTGATGATTCCCGCGCCTGAGTTCTTATTGTTTCAAAGTTAAAGGTTTGGCCTGCTCAGTTGTGTAGGTTAATGGTGTGTGTGTGTGGAGGTTGTCTGGATGGGTGCTGAGGTGCGGCAGTACTAGTGCCGGAATGTACTCTCCTAGTTGTCCTTACGGGGGTTGAGCTTTGGCTCTTTGGCCCCGCCTCTCAACTGTCAATCAACAGATTGACATCGATTCCGATTCCTATTCAGATACAGATTCCTCTGCCTATTGGAGTCTTATCAAATCTACATTTAAAATTGTGTATGGAGTCAGCCTCCACCACATCACTGCCTAATGCATTCCATCTGATAACTACTCTGACACTGAAAAAAATCGTTCTAATGTCTCTTTGGCTCATTTGGATACTAAGTTTATACCTTGTACTAAGTGTCAAGTTTATGCCTTGTACTTAGTAACTTATACTAAGTGTCCCCTTGTTCGTGTTCCACCCATGTTAAATATGTTGTCTTTGTTCGCCCTGTCATTTACTGAGAATTTTGTAAGTGGTGATCATGTCTCCCCTTACTCTTTTATTTTCCCGGGACGGGAGGTTTAACTCCCATAGCCTTTCCTCGTAACTCATACCTCTTAGTTCTGGGACTAGTCTGGTGGCATACATCTGAATCTTCTCTAACTTTGTATTGTGTGTGTAACTAGGTATATGCGCATGCGTGTAGCAGCTTAGTGAATGAGAGAGAGAGAGAGAGAGAGAGAGAGAGAGAGAGAGAGAGAGAGAGAGAGAGAGAGGGGGGGGGGAGACGGAGAGGGGGAGAGGGAGGGAGAGGGAGGGGGGGCTGTGAGAGTGTCCGCCAGTACTGTGCTATAACTCTCCCAGCCAACGTCTTCATTATCAGCGTTATCTGTATATTTTATTAATGTTCCCTTATAAAGACATCCGATTACAGTACGTGCAGACTCGGAGGCGTCGCTCCCCTGAGGTGCAGCGAGGAGGAGGAGGAGGAGGTGCAAGACTAGTAGGGAGGGGGGTGCAAGTTTAGGGAGGCTGGGTAAGGAGGCAGAGACTACAGGTGGGAGGATTGACTGGGAAGGATTAGGAAGCAGCTGCATGATGGGAAGGATAACGTCAGATTTGTACGAGGTACTGGGAAAGAGTACAAGAGCTGGAATGGGGTAGAGTGGAATGGGGTAGAGCTGGAATGGGGTAGAGCTGGAATGGGGTAGAGCTGGAAAAGAGTAGTTAACATAATATCATAGAAAAGAATGAGGAATAGAATGGGTGGACCGGGGGTTGGGAGGGGTGAAGGAGGGAGTGCCTCTCAACTGTCAATCAACTGGTGTACAGGCTCCTGAGCCTATTGGGCTCTATCATATCTACACTTGAAACTGTGTATGGAGTCAGCCTCCACCACATCACTGCCTAATGCATTCCATCCGTTAACTACTCTGACACTGAAAAAGTTTCTTCTAACGTCCCCGTGGCTCGTGGGGCAAGAAGGGGGAGGTTGTGTGTGTGTGTGTTGTGTGTGTGTGTGTGTGTGTGTGTGTGTGTGTGTGTGTGTGTGTGTGTGTGTGTGTGTGTGTGTGTGTGTGTGTGTGTGTGTGTGTGTGTGTGTGTGTGTGTGTGTGTGAGTGCGCCAGTGTGAGAGTGCGCCAGTGTGTGTGTGTGTGTGTGTGTGTGTGTGTGTGTGTGTGTGTGTGTGTGAGTGCGCCAGTGAGTGTGACTACTGGCGCGAGCGATGCCTTCAGTATACAAGTAGAGGCTCCAGTGAACAAATCCACAAGGGCCGTGATGAGGGTTCGAACCTACATCCGAGGTGGTTTTCTTCATTTGATGCATCACGCTATTGTGATTTGTGTGCGTAGGGGCTCCACATTGAGTGGAAGGTGGTAACCCACATGGCTCATTTACTAAGGTAGTATCACGCGAAAATACTCTTTACTGTAATTTTGTTTAATCCAAGCGATTTGTATGATTACCTTGCGATGATTTCGGGGCTCAACGTCCCCGCGGCCCGGTCTCCGTCCAGGCTCGGTACAGCGACGCGCTCCATTTATACAAGGTCTGAGTTCGATCCTGGATGAACCAAGTGGTTTAGGATGCTTCCTCTTCCTCCTGTATCCCTTTTAAGTGCTCTAGAGTCATGCTGGCTTAGCACTTTCTACTCAACAATTACCTTGCCTGTCTGGTAAATGGGCCGGCCTGGACCATTCTCAAATCACAGTCGACTTGAGAATGGTCCAGGACGGACCGAAACGTCGTCGTCCCTTCACCTTCTAGTGTGTGGTCTGGTCAACTTACCTGTCTGTACGGGGTACATCCCTAACGGGGAGGGTGTTGACCAAGCATCGTCACGTTGTGGAGTGAGATCAATCTTGTGTCTATTTCATTATCCGTAAATTGCATCTATAAAAAATTACAATTATCTTAATGAAAATTTTGTATTAAAGAGGAGTTGAGTGAGGTGTGTGTGTGTATGTACCCCGCCAAACACACACTGAAACTACGACGTTGGTACAATGTTCGAACAAGTTTTAACACCACCTAACCAGTTATAACAACCAATATAGCAAGTTGTAACAACGTTCTAATACGTCATAAACACGTTAAGCCAAGATGTAACAACTTTATTACAAGTTGTAACAAGCAGAAAATAGAGAGAATTTCGGTTTGTGTTTCCAGGGTGTGTGGGGCAAGGAATGATGCCACATCTTGCGAAGTGATCTCTGGCCCCAAAAGGCGTCTCCTCCCGCCCACACCTCATTACCAGACTGCTGACAATGACGGTTGTGACGCACGTGGTGGGGGGGGGGGACCTGTGCCTGAGACAGGCACGGTGCCGGGGGGGGGGGGGGAAGAGGGAGGGAACTATGAGGGGAAAGCGCCGCTCAGCCATTACAATATAGCACTGGGAAGGGGGGGGGGTCAGGATAAGGATTTGGGATGGGACGGGGTATGGTGGGGGGAGGGGGGAATGGTGCCTAACCACTTGGAAGGTCGGGGGATTGAACGCCGACCTGCATAAAGCGAGACCGTCTCTACTGTCTTGCCCAAGTAGTTGGAAGGGGGGGGAGGGAGAGAGAGAGAGAGAGCAATGAGTGTGATAGCCAAGAGAGAGAGAGAGAGAGAGAGAGAGAGAGAGAGAGAGCGAGAGCGAGCAATAAGTGTGATAGCCGAGAGAGAGAGCAGGAGTGAGCATTTTGATCATGTTGGCTTATATAATACTTATAAGAGGACCTGAGAACAGCATTTACTTTACCCTTTATAATTGCTTATTTGTAATTATTGTCAAATCTCTACACCCTTAATGCAATTTTTCCTCCCCACAAACGCAGCGTGTAAGACTCGTCGCTTCAAGACTAATGATACAAGTGTCAGTGAATTACTATGCCTAATTAAAGCCCCTCTGAACACAAATCATCAAGCACTGGCTGAACTCTGAAACTTGTGTTGGTGTTGTCTTATATTTGAAATATATTGTGACAATATTGATGTATAGACCTACTCTATGGTCAGAGCCTTGTGTACTGGTACTTCAGAACCTTCTGAGGAGCCAAGAGACGGGTAATATAGGCTGGTTTAGATAGGATTAGATACTCCCTGAGGGATTAGATTAGATAGGCCCTGAGGGAATAGATTAGATAGGCCCTGAGGGATTAGATTAGATAGGCCCTGAGGGATTAGATTAGATACTCCCTGAGGGATTAGATTAGATAGGCCCTGAGGGATTAGATTAGATAGGCCGTGAGGGATTAGATTAGATAGGCCGTGAGGGATTAGATTAGATAGGCCCTGAGGGATTAGATTAGATAGGCCCTGAGGGATTAGATTAGATAGGCCCTGAGGGATTAGATTAGATAGGCCCTGAGGGATTATAGATTAGATAGGCCCTGAGGGATTAGATTAGATAGACCCTGAGGGATTCGCAGGAACGTATAGATGTACCAGCACATTGATTGAGTAGTACCAGGTGGTGTGTTGTGGTTTAGGTAAATTGAAGATGGGTACAATAGATGAATGCAGGTAGATGGTACAAAACCTGGCCAGTCTTCACGAGGCTTGGCCAGAATAAGCCGACATGTAGTTGGATTACAGGCTATGTAATACAATGTAGGAAGACGGATGGGATGGGACACAGGCAGGCGGGATAGGGTCCTATCCCAGCTAGCAGTGGGATAGGACTCTCCCGGTTAGACGGGATGGATTTCAGGCAAATGAGACTGAACACAGATTGGATGGTCCCCCTGGCCCATGTGGGTTGGGCACAGGTAGATTTGTCAAGAAGCATGTAGATTAATTAAGAAACAGGTAGATTAATCGTGAAACCGGTAGATTAATCGTGAAACCGGTAGCTTATTCAGGAAATGGCTTGATTAATCATGAAATGGGTGCTTTAATGTGCAAACTAGAAAATTGACTGTGAAACAGGTAAATTAATGTAATTAGGAAATATCCACATTATTAGAAATGTGTAAATGAATCGGTAAACATGTAGATTTATCATTTTTATATTTATCATGAAACGGGTACATTTAATTAAGAAAGCAGTAGATTAGGAAGGAAACAGGTGACGTTAGACAAAACACGCCAGTCGTAAGACAGATCGTAACAGAACATGGATAGGTAGGGGACACAGGTGGCACAGTCTTCGGGAATAGAGAGTAGACAAAATTCCGGTAACTGGTGACGGGTAGACACATTTTGAGCTCAGGTAGACGAGGGAGTGGGCGAGCAGGGTAGATCTGGAAGGCAGGACAAGTGTGTGTGTGTGGGGGGGGGGAGTAGTGTAGATGTTGGCTAGGGCAGGAGTTCCCAACATCAGGGGGACTAGTGGCTGCTGGTTCTGGCTTTGGCGCCGCGCCCAGCTAATATTATTGTGTCATTTTTAGCCGGGTGCCGTTGGCAGCGGTGCCAGGGAGTGAGGAGCGGGAGGAGGAACAGCAGCAGCTACAGCAGCCAGTAGTGTGGCGTCTGGAGTCCAGTGTGTGTGAGTGTGAGTGTGCTGCCTGAGCAGTGATCCTCGACCCCGCAGCCTGGGATGTGCTGGTGCAAGTGTAGTGAGAGAGAGAGCACCGGGAACACGAGTGAGCAGTGGTGGGCCACAGAGAAGAGTGGCGGCAGTGGTGTGTGGTAGTGTAGTGGTGTGTGAGAGAGGTGCCCTCGGACCAGGCACCGGTGATGGCGCGCCCCTGGCGCCCCGGCTATTATGGTTGAGAATGTGCGCGGCCAGTGCGGGCGTGCGGCGGTGACCAGGGTCGCCAGTAGTCGTGTGGAGTTGCGTGCGTGCCGTGTGCGTGCGTGCCGCGGCGTACACGTGGTGGGCGTAAATTCATGCGCCGCGCCCGCGCCCTGTCCCGCGCACTATGGGTTGTGTGTCCCAGTAGTGGTCACCCTCACCGACCCAGACAGTGGACTAGGCACTGTCCAGCCTGACAGAGAGGCCATTTTGAAAATAGTTGAAGCCAACCGTAAGAAGGCTGCAGGTAAACGGCTTACAGCGTGTAGAGGGGAGGAAGTGAAGCAGCAGCAGCAGCAGCTGTCCCACACGCCGGCAGCCGCCCCCTCACCCCGGCCCACGCAGCAGCAGCAGCAGCAGCAGCAGCAGCAGCGGCACCACCGACAGGAGCCTCCACCCTCGGGGGCGGATGTAGAACGCATAGCGCTTGCCGTGCAGCGGTGGGCACAAGGCTTCGATAAAGAGGAGAAACCAGAGCGACATTATCAGGAGAAAGGTCGCCAGTACGAGGAGCTGGTGGGCACGCTGGCCGAGCTGGCGGCGGAGAAGCGGGCAGGGCGCGTGGCCCCCGGCCCGGAGCCGCCCACGGGCGCCCCGCGTCATCATGAGGCAGTTCAACTCTTCTCTGAACTCATGCAGACCGACGACGTCTCCACCATAGCGGCGCAGATCGCCAACCAGGCCGAGCTTATCTACCAGACGTGGAAGACGACCGGTCTGAACCCCACCGAGCTTATCCGCTACCACAGCGTTACCTCAGAGGGCAGCAGCCTGTTCGACGGGGCCGAGCAGGCTGCAGCTGGAGAGCCGAGCTGCGCCGGGCAGCCTTCACTGAACGTCAAGCCGCGCATGCCCGCCAGGAGCCTCAGTCCTGCGCCGCCCGGCTCCTCGCCAGTGGTGTCCAGAAAACTAGTGGAACCTGCCCTTCACAACGGCAGGCCCCACGCCGCCTCCCCCGTCCGTACCCTCAACACCTCCCCACGCCCCTACGTGCCCCCGGGCTCGGCGCCACAGTCGCCAGGCGCGCAACACCAGCAACAACCATTGTATCCCAACAACAACAACGCTGCCCAATCGGCGCCACAGTCCCCCCGTCAGGCTTACACCTCCCCTACCTCCCCCTTGTTGACACAGGGCAGCCCCCGGCCCTACGTAGCCCCGGCAGCTCCCCAGTCTCCTCGGGGGACTCTTACCCAGCCGCCCCCGCCCCCTGAGAGATCCTCATCCTACCCAGGTGTTGATCCTGCTCAGCAGCAGCAGGATAGTCCTCTCAATCTTCTTGGCGATCCTGATTTCGAGGCGTCATTGCAAGAGTTGGTGAACTCTTTTGTGCTGGAGGACAAGGCGCGTCACCACGCAGCCGCGGTCGCCGCCCTGGCGTCGCAACGACCAAAGAGCGCCCCCTCGACCATCCAGGAGGCGCTCCAGAGGTTCGAACGACAGATGGCCATAACCTCCCGCGCGGCTGCCCACGCTGCTGATCACATTACTGGCCCCGCATCTTTAATGTCTTCGTCTAGCGCAATGAGCAGCATTGGACGATTTGCGCAACAGCAGATTGCTCACATGGCGAGCAACATGGCCAGCAGCGGCATGAGCAGCAGTAGCTTGAGCCCCTCAAACAACAGCCCTACTGCCAATGCAGCTGCACGACGGTATGGCGGAGCCAGAAGCGACACCTCCGTGTCGACGGAGTGGTCACGCATGCAGACGGAGCACGAGGCCCGTAGCCGTCGCTCCGCCTCTCCAAACCCGCCGGTATCTCAGCCCGGCTGGAACGAAGGACCTCCGCCCAACACCTCCACTTGGCCCCTCAAGAACAAACAACCAGCAATCATTGAAAGAAAATCAAAACAAAGTCACACTTCCTCTTCCCACGCCGTATCGTCTGCGGGGGCGGCGTCCTCGTATTCGTCCTCCACCAGCAGCACCGCCACCAACTACATCACCACGCTGGAGACGCGGGTGGAGGGCTCAGGAGCCCAGAAGTACTCCAATGTGCCACTTCGACACAAGGTTGTGACCATGTCTGCCGTCGACCAGGAGGAGGAGCGTCTAATGCACGCTCTCCGGACCGGCACGCTCATTGATGACGGCGACCACTTGAGACCCATCGGTCAGGTTCGGCCCCTGTCTGCACCTTCCATCCCCACCCACAGCCTTTCCCCCGCCCACCCGGCCAATAATACTGTCATCACCGGCGGCCTCACCAACAGTACTGTGGCCCACTCTGAGACAACCGAGCTGCCTGCTCAGGCCAGGAGACCCAAGTATTCCATCAGTGTCACTGTTGATGTTGACAAGCCAACAGAAATTCATCAACAGCGGGTCCAACAACAGCAACAGGGTCAACAACAAAAGATGCAGACCCAGCAACAGATTCAGCAACAAAAAATACAGCAGCAGCAGCAGCAACATCAGGCACAACAAAAAATACAGCAACAGATACATCAACAACAAACGCAACAGCAGCTGCAGCAGAGTAACATGAGGCAACAGCAGGTGCAGCAGAGCGTCATAAGACAGGCGTCAAACGCGGCCACGACTCGTGACTCCCCCGCCCGACAGACAGGAAAGGCAGTCGAAGGCGACATGTCGGCCGTGGACTTCGCTAAGGTTCGTTACCAGGAGTCTCAACAGCACCCACACTCCTCGCAGCGGCTGGATGACTACCGCAGCATCTCGAAGCAAGTCGTTAACGGGGACGGACGCGTCATGATGGCGCGGACCCGTTTCGAAAATGGCAGCACCTCGCTGTCAGATTCCATGTGGAGGGGGACCCTCAGCATCCAAGCGGATGAAGTGGGTTCCACCCTGCCTGAATTTTACCGACGCAAGTTACGTAAAATGAGGAAGGCAGGGTCGCCGGAGCCGCTGGTCGCTGGCAGCATTTCAGCTCTGCCGCACCCCGAGCTGACCGATCAACAGAAAGCTCACATCAGAGAGAGATCGCAGTCTCCTACCACCGGATACAACAGCGCAGGGGTAGCCATCAGACCCTTCCTCACTCAGGGCAGCGTGGCCGAACGGGTCCTCATCTTCGAGCGTGCCCCAACAGAGATGAAGCCCAAGCCTGGAGCGCCCATTGCAGCAGCTCCGGAGAAGCGCCGACCAGCCATCTCTACCTGGCGCGATCCTGACGAGGTTCGCTCCCTCGCCCAGGTGAGTTGTCGCCGCCTGTTCCGTACGCATATGCTCACACCCTCATTAACTATGTCTCCATGGTACAGGGTCACACGTCACTAGTCACTCATCATACCATGGCATCAGAAACAGGCACTAAATGTACTTATCATAATTACCAACATGGTTTCAACTATTACCAAAAGTCGCTCACCCACACCGGTATATTTAAAGACGACACCACTTCATTATCCTCTAATCAGGCACATTTAAAATACACATCCATTCACACACTGATCGACTAATTCGAAATTTCAACTATCACAAAACATTACACATCTTCCTTCGGAGCTGGCATACATAGATAGGATCATACATCATATAGAAGAGTAAGGGGAAACATGATCACAACCTACAAAATTCTCAGAGGAATTGACAGGGTTGATAAGGATAAACTGTTTAACACGGGTGGTACGCGAACAAGGGGATACAGGTGGAGACTGAGTACCCACATGAGCCACAGAGACGTTAGAAAGAAATTTTTTCAGTGTCAACAGATAGAATGCATTAGGCAGTGATGTGGTGGAGGCTGACTCCATACACAGTTTCAAATGTAGATATGATAGAGCCCAGTAGGCTCAGGAACCTGTACACCAGTTGATTGACAGTTGAGAGGCGGGACCATACAGCCAGAGATCAGCCCCCGCAAGCACAGGTAGGTGAGTACAACTAGGGTCATACATCCATGTGTTTAGAAATGACAAACGCACACATACAGTGCCTCCGACTTCGTGCCTTCTTTTGATAATTACTTATACAGTCGACGTTCCTCGTCAGTGCTACCTAGCAGTAAAATAGGTACCTGGGTGTTAGTCAGCTGTCACGGGCTGCTTCCTGGGGGTGGAGGCCTGGTCGAGGACCGGGCCGCGGGGACACTAAAAAAAAAGTACCGAAATCATCTCACGATAACCTCTAGATAACCTCAAGTGCCTGAAATATACACAAGGTTACAATGGTTGATGGTGTATGTTAGCAGAGTCCTGTATAAACGACCAGGGTGTAGCTACAGCCGTGCACACCAGTCCTTTGTGTTGCGTTTACAGTATATGAAATACTTTATAGTGTTTACTCCTCAGACTCTTCTACCATTATCAAAACATTAACATTGCACACTTAACATCAAAAAGACTAATTTAGAGCACCTGCATTTACGTATATATATATATGTCGCTCGGGAACCATTTAAATATAATCTTTAAGACACTAACAATATTGCACAATATTTGTATGCCAAGATATGCATAAAGGCATCTAGAAAGGGGAAACGGCCGTTTTTTGTTTTGTTTAAATAAATTCTATTATTCTATCCCATAAATATGTTGAGAACCCCGTTGCTGAAAGAAAATGCTGTCGTTTAGGATGCCTAGATGTGTGCATGAAAGGCAAGAAAAGTTACGGCATTTAAGAAAGTAGATAACATAGATACGCAGAATGTGAAGTATTTTTTTTAAGAGGTGAAGGTAGCCGGAGAGAGGAGGGTGAAGATGAGAGGAGTACACGGTGTTGGAACGCGCTTAACTGACCCTACACACGCTACACCCACAACTAACCCCACTACTCAACACTACACTTACTAGTTCTGGACATGGCATAGCCAGAGCACCTCCTCCTCCTCCCCCATTACCCCCCCCCCCCACACACACACACACACACACACACACACACACACACACACACACACACACACACACACACACACACACACACACACACACACACACACACACACACACACACACACACACACACACACACACACACACACACACACACAGCAGACCAAATTCTATGGTAAGTCACACAGTTACTAGTCTTGCTCCACACCCACCCAACTGGGCGGCAGCTTTACAGTCATGTGCTCCGCACCCACCCAACTGGGCGGCAGCTTTACAGTCATGTGCTCCACACCCACCCAACTGGGCGGCAGCTTTACAGTCATGTGCTCCACACCCACCCAACTGGGCGGCAGCTTTACAGTCATGTGCTCCACACCCATCCAACTGGGCGGCAGCTTTACAGTCATGTGCTCCACACCCATCCAACTGGGCGGCAGCTTTACAGTCATGTGCTCCATACCCACCCAACTGGGCGGCAGCTTTACAGTCATGTGCTCCACACCCATCCAACTGGGCGGCAGCTTTACAGTCATGTGCTCCACACCCACCCAACTGGGCGGCAGCTTTACAGTCATGTGCTCCACACCCACCCAACTGGGCGGCAGCTTTACAGTCATGTGCTCCACACCCATCCAACTGGGCGGCAGCTTTACAGTCATGTGTTCCACACCCATCCAACTGGGCGGCAGCTTTACAGTCATGTGCTCCAAACCCACCCAACTGGGCGGCAGCTTTACAGTCATGTGCTCCACACCCATCCAACTGGGCGGCAGCTTTACAGTCATGTGCTCCACACCCATCCAACTGGGCGGCAGCTTTACAGTCATGTGCTCCACACCCACCCAACTGGGCGGCAGCTTTACAGTCATGTGCTCCACACCCACCCAACTGGGCGGCAGCTTTACAGTCATATGCTCCACACCCACCCAACTGGGCGGCAGCTTTACAGTCATGTGCTCCACACCCACCCAACTGGGCGGCAGCTTTACAGTCATGTGCTCCACACCCACCCAACTGGGCGGCAGCTTTACAGTCATATGCTCCACACCCACCCAACTGGGCGGCAGCTTTACAGTCATGTGCTCCACACCCACCCAACTGGGCGGCAGCTTTACAGTCATGTGCTCCACACCCACCCAACTGGGCGGCAGCTTTACAGTCATGTGCTCCACACCCATCCAACTGGGCGGCAGCTTTACAGTCATGTGCTCCACACCCACCCAACTGGGCGGCAGCTTTACAGTCATGTGCTCCACACCCACCCAACTGGTCGGCAGCTTTACAGTCATGTGCTCCACACCCACCCAACTGGGCGGCAGCTTTACAGTCATGTGCTCCACACCCACCCAACTGGGCGGCAGCTTTACAGTCATATGCTCCACACCCACCCAACTGGGCGGCAGCTTTACACTCATGTGCTCCACACCCACCCAACTGGGCGGCAGCTTTACAGTCATGTGCTCCACACCCACCCAACTGGGCGGCAGCTTTACAGTCATGTGCTCCACACCCACCCAACTGGGCGGTAGCTTTACAGTCATGGTGCAAGCAGTGTCCACGAGACGGGCGAGACAGGTGCATTAGTGTAGTATAAATAGTGTCCACGAGACGGGTGAGAGCGACCTGTGCATCTGCTGTTTCGGATTGACATCTGGTTGTCGAGTCGGATTGGCTGACCTTGTGCGACAGAGACCACTTTCCCCCCCCTGACGTGATGAGCGTTCGCAATGGCAGCCAGGCGGACACAGGTGGCAGGCACCTGGTGGCAATTGCCTCCTCCAGCAGCGCTTAGAATGGGCGAAGGATGACTCGGGGCCCAGGCGCGAGAGGGGGCCGCTGTGAATGTGTAAACTTCACCCTTTTCAGCCTCTAGTGCTACAGTTGTCTTAAGAATTTTGTAGGTAGTGATCATGTCTCACTACCTACAAAATAGAGGAATTGACAGGGTAGATAAAGATAAATTGTTTAACATGGGTGGTACGCGAGGTGGAAACTGAGTACCCAAATGAGCCACAGGGACGTTAGAAATAACCTTTTCAGTGTCAGAGTAGTTAACAGATGGAATGCATTAGGCAGTGATGTGGTGGAGGCTGACTCCATACACAGCTTCAAGTGTAGATATGATAGAGCCCAGTAGGCTCAGGAACCTGTTGATTGACAGTTGAGAGGCGAAACCAAAGAGCTAGAGCTCAACCCCCGCAAGCACAACTAGGTGAGTACACACACACACACACACACACACACACACACACACACACACACACACACACACACACACACACACACACACACACACACGGATGTACTTGCCTAGTTGTACTTACCTAGTTGTGCTTGCTGGGGGTTAAGGTCTGGCTCTTTGGTCCCGCCTCTCAACTGTCAATCAACTAGTGTACAGGTTCCTGAGCCTACTGGGCTCTATCATATCTACACTTGAAGCTGTGTATGGAGTCAGCCTTCACCACATCACTTCCTAATGCATTCCATTTGTCTACTACTCTGACACAAAAAAAAAAATCTTTCTAACGTCTCTATGGCTCATTTGGGCACTCAATTTCCACCTGTGTCCCCTAGTGCGTGTGCCCCTTGTGTGTGTGCCCCTTGTGTTAAATAGCCTGTCTTTATCTACCCTATCAATTCCTCTTGAGAATTCCTGTATTCACCTAGTTGACGTCCTCTCTCCACTGGAGTAGGTGGGTGCTGGTGGTGTCCCCCACGTCACCCCTGTGACGTCCTCTCTCCACTGGAGTAGGTGGGTGCTGGTGGTGTCCCCCACGTCACCTAGTTGTGCTTGCGGGGGTTGAGCTCTGCTCTTTCGGCCCGCCTCTCAACTGTCAATCAACTTGTTTCTATTACTTACTGTTTGTGTGTGTGTGTGTCCAAGCACAACTAGGTGAGTACGTACACCCCACACACACACACACACACACACACACACACACACACACGTACGTTTGTCTTATGAGGAAAGGCTGCGGGAAATGCACCTTACGACACTGGAAGACAGAAGAGTAAGGGGGGACATGATCACAACCTACAAAATCCTCAGGGGAATCGACCGGGTAAACAAGAATGAACTATTCAACACTGGTGGGACGCGAACAAGGTGACACAGGTGGAAGCTGAGTACCCAAATGAGCCACAGAGACATTAGAAAGAACTTTTTCAGTGTCAGAGTAGTTAGTAAATGGAATGCATTAGGAAGTGATGTGGTGGAGGCTGACTCCATACACAGTTTCAAATGTAGATATGATAGAGCCCAATAGGCTCAGGAATCTGTACACCAGTTGATTGACGGTTGAGAGGCGGGACCAAAGAGCCAGAGCTCAACCCCCGCAAGCACAATTAGGTGAGTACAATTAG